GTACTACTGCTAGTACTACTACGACTACTACGACTACGACGACTACCACGACCACCACGACTACTACGACTACTACTACTACTACTACGACTACGACTACGACTACGACTACTACCACTACCACTACCACTGCCACTGCCACTGCCACTACCACTAGATACACCTACCGGTATTGCTGCTGCTGGTGCTACAGCTGCTACCAGGCAAAATTCGGCGACGACGATCAGCACTTGGCGAAGAACGCTCGCGAGCTCTCTCCTCGGGCTTCTTGAGCAGCACCGCAGGAGCCGCCGCCAGCAGAGCAGATTCGGCACCGAGGTTCGTAATCTGCTTCAGGAGCCTGGCCAACGAGTACTGCAGGGGTTGGGGCCGGGGAAACATTGCCTGTGGGCAACGAATAGATCAAGCAGGTCAGATTTGCTGTGGAGATGGCATCTAATCCGAACGATAACAACGAGGATTGAAGGCAGAAGGCCGCAAACATGCTGGTCGGACTTGTCGCAAGCCTTCTTCGACTCTTTGGCACTTCCGTTTGCATTGATGCCATCATCTATCAGCACCTGTCATCTGTGAAGGCGTCCTTCCTCCTCTTTACGCCACCCCTCTTCTGAGGCCTACACTTGAAACCATCAAGCTCTCAAACCCTGCCTGGAGGAGATTGTCCCTGATGTCCCTCAGCTGCGTCATGCAAGGCGCTTTAGACGAACCCTGCAGGGTTGAAAAACATGGCACGTGTAGCATACAACAAACCTCAGCAGCATAAAGGCCCCGAAGGCATCGATGGTTTACATGCCTATAGGGCAGGCACTCGGATCTGGGTAGCCAACGTGAACTTCGACTGCTCCTTGGTCAGCTGGCCTTGCCGCCTCTCGTGCGCTGGGAGATACCCACTCCTCTCCACAAGAACCGTCGTCGTCGGCGGACCTCTTGCTGCCAGCCTCATCCCTTGCGATCATGGCATCGGCCTGTCCGTTCCAGACAGCGTGACGGCTGTTAGAAGTCGTGTGTTTTGGAAGGACTTGTGGCACATGCTCTCAAGATCGAGGTTCACATGACAAGCCAAGCGCCTGCTCGCATTCCCCGAGGGCTTTCTTGGCTGTTGCCATTTGCTCAGCCTTCTTCGTCACCTTCTCTTTGGCCTTCCCAGGATGACTTTGCACAGCTTGGGGTCTCTTACCAAAACATCTGAAGCCACGTTAACATCCGAGACATCCCATCTCCTTCCCCCATGCCAAGTGGGCTGTGAACCGCAAAGCCCCTGACAATACAATAAATAATACAATGCCAGGCCTCAGCAAGTTCGTCCGTGGCGGCCTGCAGCTGTGCCTGTCTCAGGGGAAGACACGGACCAAAGATATTTTATGTCGTCAGGTTCTTTGTTATCTTACTATCAATACCGGTGATAGTATAATGCACGTGCTGGTGATACTTATTCCTGTTCGATTGGCCGGGAGGCTATTTCAGGGGCTTTGCCTGATGGTACCTCTTGCCCGCTTCTTCAACCACCAATCCCTCCTTTACAACCAACCGAGACCGACATTGGATCAATTCCACAGGACGAGCAGATCCTGTCAAAATATCTGTAGGGATCAGGTTTGCACCGTGTTGATATCCGCAGCTGCCTGTCATACTCAATGCGGTTAGTCAGTGCTTGAAAGCCGCCTTTGGTCATCATCTTGGGCGGCGCTCCAGTTCTGCTGGCTGCGTTTGGCTGCGGCAGGCAGCATATTCCCACCCCCAGTGGCGAGAAAAGTTTCTGGAGTGGTTTGAGTGCACGTCTTCTCAACCGCTGGCCTGTCCTATACTTTTTTGGGGGGGGCTCCTTATTATTATTACTATTATTACTTGGAGGGTCGGGAGACTTAGTAAGTAGGTAATAAGTAGACTTATAAGTACCCTGAGAGGGACCTAATTGGGGTTATAGTACTTATAAGTCTATAAAATAACCATTTACTAAGTCCCCCGACCCTCCAAGTATGATTAGTATTATTATCATTATTGTTATTATTATATACTGGGCCCCAAAACCCTATTCCAGTGCTGACCAGGCCAGCCTCTGCCCTTGCACGTGCTAGGGAGTTTCAACAAGCACTGTGCAATGGTCGTCAAAGGCCGACATATCATCTCCTGCACGAGCCTGTGAAACTGGCTTTGCCACTGGTGCTTCTGACGGCTCGACTTCACACCCGACTGCAGCCCGTGGCATGGCCACAGAGAACAGCAAAAACGATGAAACTGCAACAAGTAGCATCAGAACCACACAAAAAGGATGTAGCACGCTGCCTCCCTCTTACAGGCCACTCCAAGCCGGTATCCGACGGGGCCTTCTGGACTTCGAGCTCCGACTCCATGGTGCTCACGGACTTCTTCGCATCGTCGACCTTCCCCTGAAGCCTGGGATGCATCTTCACTGCATACTCCAGAGAGCTACTGGTACAAAGCGAGCTTCCTTAGGACCCCCACCGTGCTGCGATGTCTTCCAGCGTCTCTTTGATGAAGTCGCCAACCCTTCAGGAAAATACCAGTTGTGATTCCAGCCGCGTCATGCTCTGCAGACAGGGCACCTTGTCTGCATGGGATGCCTGTCTTCCACCATTTGTGAGAGCGCAGCGACTGCCTCGATTGCCAAATGTTTGGGAAGGCGAGATTCGGGCCATCTGACATTGACTCGATGCAGTTTGGCCCCGCACACCCTCTGCAAGCATCTTTCGCGAGATCTCTGTTGCCTGTGAAGGCATGACTGGAGTGAATGAGTCGAGTCTCCCAGCACAAGGAGGCCTCACTTTCCAGATTGGTGTCGCGTAGCGCCTGCGGCGTAACATGGAAGTCTGACATGTCCCGGTGTGTCCTGGTTGTTCGGTTTGGCCGGTGCAAGTATCCCGTGCCAGTGCGATCAACATAGAAGGGCAAAAGACAACAGACGAAAGCCCCTATATGCCGTAGACCAAGTCTCGGACCGCTATGACAGTGTTTATCTTGCTCCTCACAGTCGCACCACCTAGGAAGCGGAACGGCACAGGCAGCAGTCTGACGTGCCAAAAAACTTGGAGTGCTCTTGCTGGCAACTGAGCACAGCACGCTGTTTCTTCCATGCTGGACCTCCAGTTTCACACACACGGCCTTGCTGGCTTCCGTGTCCACGTGCACAAGGAGAAAGTCCTTCGCCCAGCCTGCTGGAGCTGCACCGCGCTTTCCCATGGTGTCGGGAGACCTCTCTTCGTCGAACTCTGGCTGGACGTCAGACAAGCATTACGACGAGCGCATTCGCCTGGAACATTCTCCTCTTCTAACTACAGTAGGAAGCTCAAGACCCAGACAATGTCACGTCGGGGCAGCCCCAGACCGCCGAATTCTGATGATTCTGACTTTCGGGGGCGTGTTTTCCACTGGTTCGGCGCATGTCATGTCCGAACAATCACAAGCAAGCGGCCTCCCTGCCTCTGGCTTACACCGCTGGACGCACAGCTTCGCTGGAGAGCCAGAACCACGGGCATGTGATGCAGTCCACTTTCGCCCACCCCACACAGTGCGCACACGAAGAAAGGCCCAAAGGCCTTCGCCGGTCCGTCCAGTTAAAGATGTAGTCCGTCTCCAGAGCCGACCTTTGCGTGGCCGCAGGTCCCCGCACCCTGCCGGCTGCCTCTGCCTCGTCGCTGCCTCGCTTCTAAGTGCCCGGACAAGCCCAAAGGCATGCTCGAGAGCGCGGCCTCAGGGTCCACAAGATCCCACTCCGGCAAGACGCTCCAGTAGAAGGACTTAGCACAGGGCCGTGAACTCTGCCTTTGACCAGAAGCCGTCCTGGTCCACATCGTGCTTGTGGAACCTGAACGACGAAAGGCTCGTGCCCACTTGGCGAAAATATGCGAGGAGGAAGCAAGGCAAAGTAAGGCTGTCCCGAACATCGTCCTGTCAGCAGAATGGCGTCCAAGCCACTGCCAGGCCAGAGCGACCCAGTGTATACAAGGTGGTATGACGCAGCATCACAAACCGAGACATCAAGAGACGCAAATGGGCGGATGAGCTCTCATGCCATGTTGTGATGAGTGTAGCATAGCGCCGATTCACCAGCAATGGTTCCTCTCGACCCACCCCTAGCACCCCTGAAACCCTCCATCCACACTGTCCAGCAAAGGATTGCTGGAGCTCGCGGTTTTGATTGGCCCTTTGCCGGAGGCATCGAGATCGCACCTTGGGTTGCCTGCTGTAGTTGAAGATGTGCTGCGCTTTGGCACAACTGGACCACGGCTGTGCGCCGGGCCAGTCCACCGGAGCGAGCTTAAGCACGTGCAGGCGGCGGATGACACGCTGCCAAAGGACCTCAGCGCTGAGCCCTCAATGTCTCCAAAGTACCCCCGTGCTCGGTGACGGCCTGGAATTGCTCCTCCGTGATGCTTCCACGATCAGCCTCGAAAGGAGACCTGGTTCAGGCTCGCAGGGACGTCATGTCAATGTGCCGTGTCTTGCGGACATCGAGATGCGAACAAGCCGATGACGCCCGGCGCGAGGACGGAGCTGGGATCATCCTTCCGAGTCCGGAAGCCATGGAGTCGAGGTTTGAAGCTCAAATGAAAGGAAGTTCTGCCTGCCATGAAACCGACAGCTCGATGTATCCAACAGGCGGAAGCCTGAACGCTTCAGGGCTGCTGCAGACGCTATGATCTCTGGTGTCTCGTGTTTACCTTCTCTCCGCTGGCTCCTCTACGACATGTCTCCTGGAGTCTCCTAATGCACGGGCTTCTGGGCGGACTGCTCTGCACCGACACCGGATCGGTGGAGCGGGAAGTTTCCCTGGACCTGCAGCGCCATGCAGCTGTGATCAGAGTGCGATCAGCGTGCGTGGCGCCGGCCATCACCAAGCTGAGCCCGACGCGCGATTGTACTGAGACCTCAGTGCAGAACAGCGGCCCGCTCTTGAGATTGCCGCCAGCTGAGCGCCGAGGTGGCTGCGTAAGCAGCTGGTTCAGCGGAACCCGAGCCTCGCCGATGAGGCCGAGCTGTTCCTGTCAGCTCTTTGGGAAGGGTCCGGGGGCCACGCAAAAGCCACGAAAGCCACGGAAGCGCCAGGTCCTCGGAGTCGCCCGCTGCTGGCATCGACGCGTCGAAGACCAGGAAGTGAAGTCCGCCACCGTTCTGCACCCACCTCCGGGCACATTCGGGAAAGCCGAAGGCCCAGGGGCTCTTCAGCACTGATGGTCCCGACTCGGCCTGCAGAAGTCGCTGTCCACGCGCACGACCATCCGCCGGGCATCCTCCGTAGTCCCAAAACTACTCAGCTGGGCCCGCGGCCCTCGCTCACCGCAAGACAGTAAGAACTCTGTCCTCGAAGGTGACGTTGGGTCCGCTGCCGCTTTGGGTGAAGTGCGCCTTGTGCCCAGGGACCTGGCGAAGGAGGAGCTGCAAACGCCGCAGCGGCACATCGCACGCACGCTTTCCGACCGCGGCCTCGTACGTCACGTAGGGCTGCAGGCTCTCCGCCGCCACACCGGGCTGTGTAGGGACCTGCTCTCTGCAAAGCTCTGCATGCGATCTCCAAAAGGGCAAAGGACACCGGGGTCTCTGCCAATGAAGTCACGTGGTAAATGTGGACCTTGCACAGGAAGCGGGAGCATGCGAGGGCTGGCGAGAACAGCAAGCAAAAGGATGAGGAAGATGCGATGAGCCCCTTCGCAGCATCCATCAACCCAGGAGCAGCTGCTGTGCCTGGCCCTGGCAAAGGAGCTAAATGCATCACCGCGACACCTCTGCACTTTCACTGTGTCCCCTTGGCGAGTTGGTCCTGTTACGGTTGCTACGGTCTGCAGCACGCTCTTTCTGTTTAGTCCACTTCAAGCACCTTTGGCTTTAGGAAACGTGTCGCTTCTTGCCCCGCAGTCAAGGAGCCCATGGGATGCGGAAGCCTAAGAATCTGGGAACACGCTTTCCGGCATCGGGCGGCAACTTCGCGCATTGAATTTGTGGCCAGGGGCCCCCGACAGGGACGTCAGAATACATGCAGGAGCTGCAGTTTGTTCCATCTGCATGCTTGATCGTCACCGTGTTCCAGTAATGGTGCATAGATATTGGTATGATGGTGCGGCAGGTTGCTGGCCCTGTAAAGGTGAGGTTTTCGGCCAGATACGCCCCGGCGATTGTAGTACATTGCAAGCCCGGCTCCCTGAGCACCGACGTCGTGATGTAAGCGAGGCCGTAGCTCCCAAGGGACCAGTGCTTCGCAGTTATGAAGGGCCCGTTGATGCTATCGGGGTTGGAGAAACACCACTGCTCCTCGTCCAGGCCTAGGTTGGATGGCCCAGTGATGGCGAGCAAAGCCCCTGCAGCCAGAAGAGCCATGAGGTAAGACAATGTGGAGAGGCCCGAAGCCACGCCCATGGCTGCGTTGCGAACTCCTTTGATCTCCTTTAAACTCTCGCTGTGATCTGGGAATCTCTGGTTTCATTCTTTGAGCCGAATCTGCACAACAGCCCGCTACTTCCATCGAGGGTGTGGGTGCTATGGCTGCTATGGCTTGCGAGCACGCTGCGCGCCTGCGTTCTCTGCCACAGCAGCAACAGCTGCAACTGGAGACCTTGTGTGTAGATTGAGCGACATCAAGACCGTCCAAGCAGATCATGGCCGAGACTCAAGATCGCTACACACTACTCATAAGAATGCCACATGCCACTCGTGATCGTGTACGTCTCCAGGGGCTTGATGATGCTCTTTCGCCATCTTGCCTGGAGGGATTGCGGATCGAGGTCCTGGAGGTCCGTGTGATATGTGCTGGCTCACCAAGCGGGCCTTGTACCGGACGGTTGCAATTTGCACATGCGTGTCGGCCTGTTTGCGCAGTTGTGGGAAGGAGAGGAGACGACTGGGAGAATATGGGCAACTAGACTAGCCTCGTATGCGAAGGACAGAGTGCCAGCAATCACCGGGTTGGGATCCTCACGAGTCTCCCAACCTTCACCTCAAAGACCCAAGCAGCCCGCCCAGACCTCCGGCGGACTCTGGTCCGGTCCTGTGGGGTGCAGTCCAACAAGGCAGCCAGAGGGAGAGCGGCTCTGCCCAAGACCTGAGATCTGCATTTCCGGGAACTGGTCCATTCAGTTTGCAAAAATACCCCGAAAGCATCTTTCCCTGCCAGGCCCGGGGCGTAGGAAGCAGAGCCCACAGTCGAGAAGGCCTGATTCCACAGAGCAGCCCCAGGACCCAGACGCGAACTCGAAGGTGACTGGAGGAAGACTCGGCCGCCCCAGGCCCCAGGTCTCGGGGGCTCGGCCTGGAGCTCCAACCTCACTGCTGCCCGGGCAAAGTGCTCGACCTCTGCATCGCCGACCTGCGACCCGGATCGAAGAAGATTCAGCTACACGGTGGGGGCAAAGGGGCCTCGAAAGGCCCGAAGGACAACAAGGAGTCGTAGCGTGGCTTTAGGCCGACCTCAGCGTCTCTGGGGCTGAAACAGCCAACTCCACCATGACTATCTGCATGCTGCACATAGAAGCCTCAGCAACCCTCAGCCCACTGTGCTGCCGGCGGCCGTCTCGGAAGTTCCGACATCGCAGTGCATGAACTCGGCAATGACCTCCGAGAAGAAACGCATCCCATAAGATGTCGGCATTGAAGAAAGGCACCCACCAGAGTGCACAGGCTGTTTTCCGGAGGGATCTGCCAAGTTCCCTCGCCTGGGAAACAAGCTCAGAAATATAGCGATGATACACAACTCCCAAGGAAAGAGTGTAAATTCTTGGCTCAAATCCTTGTCGAGGAAGTTCCTGCAGCGCCCTGTCCTTCTCCATGCATGTCCACACGACACCAGGTTGTGAGGCTTGAGTCAACCGTCCTCGATCTGCCCCAGCGTGATGTACAAGTCCAACACATTCTTGTCATCGGCGATTTCCGAGAGGCTGAGCAGCGGGGCAACTTCGGATGGCAACAGCACTACGGCACATTGTGTGGATTTGCAAACACACCATCAGCTTCCGCTGTTCATATCGTGCTCAGTCCTACAATTAGCACTCGCACCGTTTGTTCATGTTCTCGATGGAAACCATGGAAAGCTGGAGCAACTCTGGGATGCCGACTCAGAGAAGCCGCCGTCGCTGATGATTTCGGAGCGAGCACCCACCATGCGGGAGGGCTGGCACAGGGGGAAGTTGGGCTCGAAGGGTTTTTGGGGTTTAGGTAATTTAGGGTTTCGGTTGAATGGGTCTTGGGGGCAGGGAGGGGGGGAGGGGGGGGTTTGCAAATTCGCCTTGTTTGTGCAAATTCAGAACTGCCTGAGGCCCAAAGCAGTCCTGCCTGAGCAAACCTCTGCTCCTTGCGCTTCACGAGGCGCAGCTGCAGCTCCTGTGGACATTGGTTAAAAGCAGGGGAAGCCTGCCCAGCAGTGCGAGACAAACCTCAAATTGGAAAGGCTTCAGGCACCCATGAGGCCAGCCCGAGGCCAATCCCCACATCGCAAGTCCCCCAAAGCTCCTGAATGCGACCTTCTCGCTCTTTGGCGATCTTCCACAGGCGTTCCGAATCAGACATCCTGACCTGCTGCCAGCCACGACTTGGAGCAAGCTCCTCTTGACAAGACTACCCCAGCAACTTCGATGACCACGAAGACAGACACCCTAAAAACACCCGACAACGAATGTCCCAAAAAGGTGAACTCGCGTGAGGCACCCTGCATGAGACAGGGCGACTTCATGCGACGAACAAATGACCGTATAGCATGCAGCCTGCATCTGTAGGTGGATTTCCTCAAGGTCCATCTGGTGAAGTTTCTGCCGATCCTGGCAAAGCTACCAGAGTCTTACAGATCCAGACATCTCCACACACCCGGGGTCCCTCTGTTTATGTGTGTATATATATATATATGCACACATACACTTATATTTATATACAAAAATGTTTGTACATCCTTATTGCGATTGGTTGATGTATATATATATATATATACATATATATATATATATATACCTCTACATATACATATATACATACATACATATATATATATATATATATATATATATGTATATATCACTATACTATACACTATGTGTATATTTTCCCAGCGGATGTCCTTGGCGATGCCCCGCTCACGCTGGCAGATGTCCTGCAAGGCCTGGAGCTCGGACCCGAGCTCGTCCTGCCGAGAACCGAGACGAAGACTCTCCGAAGGCAGATTTCCACAAGACTCTCTCTCTCTCTCTCTCTTTGTACATACGTATCTATATATGTATATATATATTTATATATACATACTGGTATATATATATACACATATATATATATATATGTGTACAGATAGATAGAGTTGTGAAGGCGCTGTCGGGGCGGCCGAGCCTTCTCTGCCCGGAGGGCGTCGATCCGGCGGGCCAACTCTTCCACGCTGGGCCCCTGGCCCGGAGGCGGCGGAGCCCTGGGTCCTTGAGATGCCAAAAGAGAAGAAAAAGAGATAGAGAGAGAGAGAGAGAAAAAAAAAAAAATGCAAAGAAGACAGAATGGACTTGAACCCCCTGGCCCTGGCCTGCCGCTCGCTGCGCCTTGCAAGAGCTCCCATGTAGCTCTCAGCTTTCTACTGTCTCCCCTTTTCGAGCCCCTGGCATCAGCTCTCTGCGCCACCTCCTCCGCGGCCTTCTCCTCTCGCTCACGCAGGAACCTCGAGTCAGGCTCAGGAAAGGCGCCAGAAAGTGTACTTAAAGGATCATGGGACTTAGTAAGTAGGGTTATAACTAGGGTAACTATACTTATAACCCCAATTAGGGGACTTATAACCTTACTTACTAAGTCCCCTGATCCTTTAAGTAGTACCCCACCCCATGCGAGCGATCGAGGCCCACGCTGCAGGGAGAAAACCATCACCTGCCCAAGCATCGATCCCCCAAATGCAACATCCTCTCCACGGGCAGACAGGCCTTCCTGTCTTCCTCTTCCAGGGTGTCCAAGACGTCGGTCAGCTGCGACTGCGCCCTACGGACTGCCTGCAGGTGGAGCGGAAGCAACCGTTGTGCCAAGAGCAGGGAAGATCAGAAGCCTTGCTCTTTTGTACGCAAGCACCTTCTGGTCTGCATGCACAGGAAGGTCCTAGCTGTCCTAGCTACCATGCCATGTTCTGCAGGATGGCCGAGAAGAGCCACGGGGGTATCTCGAAGAGACGCCCTCCACGAGCCCCCCCAAACTTTTGAGGCCTTTTACTTGCTCTCCGAGGTGCATTCACACGCATTCACACTCTCGCGTCTGCGCTTGCTTCGAATGTTGTCACAATGCAGCTTGCAATTACAGCACCTTGGAAAGCCTTCCTGCATCCCCGAAAAGAATTCTTAGCAAGGAAACAGTCCGGCATGAAAACTCGGCTGTTCAGCAGTCATACTTGATGACCTGAGATCGACATCGCTTCGGAGATGGTCGAAGACAGGCTGGCAATCCGGACATTCCGAGATCACTGCGCCCCACTTCGCGAGGTTTTCCTCGAGTTCATCTGTTGTGACCTTCCCCATGAAGCCGAGCAGGCCACGCGGGCAAGAGCTCAACATGTCGGGATACAAGCAGCTCTCAGTCCACATGACAGCTAAACACGAGTTAAGGCCCCGTTCCTTCTCTCTCTAAAGACAGCTCAAGGCCTCGTCTCCAGTCTTAAACTCGCTGAAGCCAACGATGGTATGTTCAGTCTTGCCGTCCTGCAGCACCGCCATGATCACCCTCTGCAATTCTCGCTGAAGCATCTCCAGACAAGCTGTGCATCGGTCCACGCAAAGCACGAGAGACGGCAGGCACCAAATGTGCAATCGCCTCAGCGTTCAAACTTTCGTTGCAACACGAGCCCGGAATCCTCGCATGCTGAGATCTTTGAGGTCAGGCAAGCTGCTCTACCAGATACGGGGCCTTTTCGGCGTTGATCTTGACAAAGCGGGTGCCCCAGTGCTTCTGGCACAGCTGCCTAGGCCATACTGCGCGGCGTTCCAACCCGTTCACCCGCTCCCCCCCCTCCCCCGCGCAGCAAATGCAGACTAGCACACCTCAAATGCTTGTCCATGATCTCACATCTCCAAGTACTTTCTCTCCAGAAGTGAACGACCTCACGAGGTCAGCCGCACAGAGTTTGAACAGAAACGGAAACCATCGGCAGGGCCCTCACCATTCGCTCGCTCTTCTTCGCAACATCGAAGAATTCCTCCACAAGGCGAATCCGAGGAGCCCCGGACTGCCCGCTACAGAAGCCACCCCAAAAACCTCTACCTTCCCGAACAGGGGCGCCTTCTCCTCGATCATGGTGTACTCGCCGTGTCCGACGGCAAGCTTCTTCATCTTGTCCTTGGCTACCGGATCTACCGGGGCTGCTGCACTTGCTTTACTTAGCAGAGACGGAAGTAGCATCCCGCGCCCCATCCAGGCAGCTGCGGGTTCGCCGAGTTGCTGCTTGGACACTCTTCATCTGCTCGAGACGCTTTCGGCGCAGCTCCTCAAGGTCATCTTCCTGCCCACAGAACAAGTCCAAACCACTGGCCTGATGGGGACTCGACACCTGCAGCACTGTCAGTACTGAACATCTCGGCGTCCTTCAGAGAATCCAAGCGGGCGATCTCGGCATCGATTTCGGCCTCCTGGTCCTGCAGGCATAGATTGCCCATAAAGGTTATAGCCATGCCAGAGCGCTCACAGGAAAATGATACAGAGTTTAGGGTTTAGGGTTTAGGCCTCGGCAGCCCTTATCAGCACATCGTTCAGCAATTGGACGTTCCTCACACGCACGGGTGTGGCGCATCAGCACCCAGACTTATACTGCCCCTCTGCATCCCGAGTCTTCTGGAAACAGGGCTCTTCTCATAGTAGCCCATGGTGCTCTCGACGTGGACCTAAGCTATCTTCAGTCTCAGCAGACTTGACAGGAAACGAAGCGCTGCAGGCCCTGCCTGGTAACTTCTGCACACTTTGGGATACTTTGAGCTCAGAGCCGAAATATCCGGACCACCAAAATATCGCACATCGTAATGCTAGTACTTGGAGGGTCATGGTACTTAGTAAGTAAGGTTATAAGTCCTTTAATTGGGGTTATAAGTATAGTTACCCTAATTATATCCCTACTTACTAAGTCCCATGAGCCTTTAAGTAAGAGCATGCTTGGCATTAGCACCAGGTTTGACAGGCCCGCACCTTGGCTCTCTCCTCCATCTGAATCGCTTTGCGCTCGTTGTCCTGCCGAGTAGGGTGTGAGCTCCACCCATCAACTTGGATGGCTTCGGTGCATGGTGATGTCTACCAGCTCAAGCACAACGGCAAGACTTCGTAGGGCCATGCAATGCGATACAGTACGACAGAATGCAGTACGCTATGATATATTTGCTTTTTGGATGGCACAGCCTGCAAGCACAGCAAAGTGGTCGACTGCTGACTTGAATGAGGCGTGCGTCCTGCTGCTCAATGAGAGCGAGCAGCATGCAACATGACTGTGGCAAGTGGCGTTATGCCTTATGCCGAATGCCGTACGTTTGGGCAAGGAGGCAATTTCAATGGCTGTCGTAGCTGCATTGCATGTGCCATTCACTGTTGCCTTCGATGCCTACTGTCTGGCAATAAGGACACATAAGTGGCAGATAGCAATCGGAACTTCACATCAAGACCTCGCCTGTGTGGCCCGAAAGAAGCTGTACAACTGTGCTGTTCAAGTGCTCAAGCCCTGTGGCTGTAGCCGCTGTTGCCCTTGCCCTTTCCTCAGCGTCAGGAAGCAGAACACAAGCACTACTTCACCATACTTGAAAGGACTTGCAGGGCCCGTTCTGTTGCTTGACTGGCACTGGCCCGGGTCCAAGTTGAGATACCACGAACACTAAAAGATAAACAGAGCAGGGTGCATGAAGCGCGAATGCTGCGACTTCTTCTAAGTTTGGTGTGGCTTGTCTTCCTAGCCTTGTGGCATCCCTTTTCATCACTGTGGTGCTGATCTATCGCCGGCAAAAATGTCAGACAAAACGGAATTCCGGAGATGTCGCAGGTGCCGCCCACGCCGGGAGCTACTGCTGGGCGGTTGTTGATTCCTGAGGCCTGGGCTTGCATGCGGGTTGTGACACTGCAGTGGTCGTTTCTTTGGAGGCCTGGCTCCTTCTACCCTCCGAAGCTCCTAATTGCGAAGCCGAGACGAGGGCCAGACCTTTCCCCTTTCCAGAGGATCGACGCCTCAGCTCCAGTAGGTGCGTGCACTCATGTTCAGCGAGGTGGAAAAGATGCTGGGAGGGAGACTCCTGCGTCCAGGATTGTGGGGGCTGTCCGCCTTGCAGAACGCAGCCTCAGCGACTCCAGCGACTCCCACACTTCACCAAAACCGCCCTTCAAATCAGTCGCAACCTGCTCTTGGGCTCGAGCGCTGCACGGTGGGGTCCACCCACACACTGGGCTTCTCCTTCCGGAGGTCGACGAGCAGTCCAGCGGCTACCTGGAGAAGCTTTCAGGGCAGTGCGCGGTGGCAATTGCGGCACGTTCCGGCCTTGTTCCCTTCGGGAGAGCTCGCCATGGACGACAGGGTCTCTGAGATGGCAACTTCTTCGATGCCTCGCAGTCCGATTGTGAAAAAACTGCAGCTCCTAGCTCCTGGCAGCTCTAGCAACTTCCGACCTGGGCAGGTGGCCAGCGAGCGGTTTGAGAGGAAGGGCCTGCAGCCGGGTTGATCAGGAGTGCTCCATCTGCTCTTGCTTCTGTGGCTCCGGCAGAGCTCCGGAAAGGCCCAGCGCACCGCGCATCAAGCCGTCGACCTCTTGCCCAAGACCGGAAGAGGCAAAGCAGCTACAAAAAAAAAAAAAACTGAGAGGACGCCTTGTCGAATTGGCACTGCTGCACAGCTGTTCGGAACCTGGACAACTCTTTCAGGATCGGACAGGCCTGGACCAAGGTTCGGCCTGCTTTCTGAGACTCCGGCAGCATGGAGTAAGTCCTCTTGTCCGGCTGCACCTACAGTGGTAGAAACGGCTCTTGTGCACAAAGGTGAGCGATCCATGCTCTGGGACTTCTTCCAGAAATCGATTCCATCGCCAGTTACTGTGGGGAAGCATGAGAGGTTTGGGGCATCTCGACCTTCATGGAGGCGGGCTCCTTGGCTTGCTGCTTTGAGGGTAGTCTTGACCGCTTCCGGCTTTGGGGTTGCGCTTTTTGTCACGGTCTTACTTTTCGGTTTTCGGTGTGTAAGACTACGAGATGGTTCGATTTTTGAGCATTCGCAGCCAGCAAGCGCCAGAATACGCCTCCTCAGACCATTCCTCCTATCGATGCTACAGAGCGGACATAGAATGTCGAACGTGCCACTCATCCTATCCTGGAGGTATGCAGGCTGGTAAAGGTAAACAAGCTTCTCTCGCGAGTGCACCATTCGAATGTTCGTTTCGCTCCATGGCAATAGCGCAAGAGCTCTTCGTGCGTTTTAGTGGCACAGGGTGTGATCATAACTCCAACAGTGCTGCATCTCACTCATGACCAGTTGTCTCACCGGATGGGAGGTACGGCAAGAGATGCTTGTAGCCAGGGTGTTCAGTCTGTAAGCTGCTTTGTCAAACGCTCATATCATAGAACTAGAAGTTCACCAAAGTTAGGAAGTTGAACACAAACTCACCATGTTCGCGCCTTGCGCTCCATCATCTCTTCCAGAGTCTTGATGCCCCTCTGCAGCTGCTTGCTGAAGCAGCATGCCTGGACCTGCGGAAAGACAACTCCCGCATCGAAGAACGACGCCACAACGAGATCTGAGGCTTCTGCGAGATTGGCATAAACGTGGGAATTTGGGCTGAGATGGTACTTGCCCGCCAACTCCTTGACCTGCGCCCGCGACGCCAGTGGATGGCAACACCCTCACTGCACCTCGACTGAGAATCCCAAGTCGCGGACGAGCTCAAAAGCTTGGTCCACACGACGGGCACGGCTCATCAGCTTGACCTGAGGCTGGCTTCATGAGACGAACCACATGGTGACTCAGTGATCTCTAGCGCCCGTTTTTCAAGGCTGGAACCAGGACAGAAAGAGTGAAGTTGCTCGGTTTCACGCCGGCTTCCTACAAGCGCTCGGATGCAACAAAAAGACACGCCACTCAGAGCTTCTTCCGCTCGGCCTCCATCTCCTTTAGCACCCGCAAGCCCTCGTCTACCAGACTGCTCTGGGCGCAGCCGTCCAGGAGCGAGTTGTACCTCTCCATGAAGTCCAAGGCCAAACTTCCCATTTTGGGCAGATGAACTTTCAACTGATACCTATCCTTTGACATGATATCCTCTGCTTCCATGGTCACATGATCTCGTCCGGCACCAAACCAGCCTGACAATGGCTCAAAGTTGAAGACGGCTACAACACAAAGAAGGTCGCTTCTTCCAGATCTTTTCAGAGATCTGGTGGAAACCCCTTCGAGACTTCCAGGCACCTCTTCTCTCATCTCCTTGACAAGCTTAAAGGCTGCAGAGAGGTCGCCTTGGCTTGCTGAAACGCTTTGAGAAAATGACGAGATGCTCCGAATTTCAGCTGCTGGCCGACTTGGCAATGACCTTTCAGCATGGTGCTGTAGGTGATGATGTTCGGCTTGATGTTGGCCTTCGCAGAATGTCGGGCAATTCTTGGCAGCTTGGGGCACCGGGCTGGACGCCTTTTTCATGTCAGCCAGAATGTCCGGCACGCCGTCCATGCCTAGGTGCACCGACACAGAACACGATGCAATGAGCAACTGCCGGGTACCAGTATCTTGCATCGCACCGAGAAAAGCGCGACAGCAGCGGGCGCAGCAGTCAAGAAGCGTGTTGTAGGTGACAATCTGCCAATGCCATCAGATCAGCTACTCTCGTACAGGCTGCTGTGCACAGCGTGAGACTGCAAGAATGTGTCCGAGGACACGGCCGAAAGATCGATATTGCGCTTCTGCATTTCCTGCAACGTCAAGAGAGAAAAAGCCTGCCGTCGAAACAGCTCCGACATGCAGGAGGACTGTCGAGCCTCGTAGACGGACCAGACTTTCCCGGCGTTCTTCTCGCGGGTGAAGCCCTTCAACACGGAGCAGTAGATCACGGCGTTCAGAATGCCCTTGCAATGGGGATCCTGGAACCGGACAGTCATGGGAGGAAACTGTTAAGGGCTCACGGGTGAGAGCTGCCCAAAGACTCGACGTCCTCACCCAGCTCTTGGATGAGATGCCACGCTCCATCTGGGTCCCCGTTCGACACCACCGCCTCGCAGAAGAAAGTCTCAGAAGCACACAACGTTTAGATTCAGATCGAGAAGACGGCTCCGTGGCATCACATCTTTACAATCTTCATTTTACAGTATCAGTCAGATTCTGATGCTAAACAAAGAAAGTGAAAGAGGCCGCAAAAACTGGACTTGAATCACCACGCGAAACCAACTTCCATTAGACATGCCGACAAGCACCTATGCTGCTCACTCGACCGAAACATTTCTGAAAGGCACTATTGACTCTACGTCGCAGTTGAAAGGAACGGATGAGGTCGGATAAAGTCACCACGACGCCATATTCAGCCGCCACAACCCTTCCTTGCACAAAGACTCAACCTCGGGAACTCTCTGCAGCTCTCTTTTGCATGTCCATTGTTCGGCCTCGATCATGCAGCCGACGGTGATGCTGGTGGGCTTGATGTGGCCTGCGCATGCGAGCTAAGGAGACAAGAGGCCGTCATTGCTGACCACAACGTGGCGGAAGTGCGCGTCCGCATCTCCTTCCAGCAGCGCCAGACCTGTGGAAGCCGCGTGCTTCGGAGAAGCTTTGCAGCTGCAGGACGGGGATGCGGCCGACTTCATGTCCCTGGCATGCCCGTATGCCTTCAAAGACGCGCCACAAGTGCGCAAAAGAACCCTCAAGCTCACAGGAGATCAACATACATGCAGAGGCAAAAGACCAGGGCAAGATTCTCAGCTCCACCTTGATCAGGCTGCCGAAGGTGTGGGAGCCATTGACTTTGATGTCGCCGGACATGAGCTGCCTTCCCAGTCTGCTGGTACCAGATAGATCACAACTTGAAAGCAAAGCAAGCACACTGATGGCCTCAACTTGGTGTTAAGGAGGTCCGGCTTCCCGATGCGCACGCAGGCCTCCACCTCATTCCCACAGCAGCCAGGGGGAGGCCTGGTTAGCTTCTGATTAGGCCCGGGACCACCGAGGAGAGCAGGACCTCGTCGAGCTGCTCCTCCATGTCATTGATCAGCTGCATCCTCGGGCCGTC